TGATTTTAGCTACATTATTCACCGATTTTTTTATTCAAGTTTCGCATTTGAATATTGTAATGGTTTATGACAAAAGTTGCCTATACAGGTCCATGTCGTCGTATAGACCCTAATAAAACGGCTACATTCGGTATTTTTAAAATTTTAACAGAATTTTTAGCGGATTTTATTTTATGAAAATTGTCAAAATCGTTCCAAATGGTGGAGGGTATTCAAAGATCGGCCGAATTTATAGCTGTTTTACTTGTTTAACCTCAATAGATTTTGTGGAATATAAAACATCGCAATGTAACCTAAATAGAGAATCTCCCCTTTTCACATTTTTTTAAATTTTACGGATTAAGATGTCTTTAAAACCATTGATTTAGGTGTATAGTGCCTTCAGCAATATCGCAGATAATAACAAGCCAGTCAACGAAGGGGTCATTTTGTCCTTTTTATACCCTACACCTACAAGGGTATTGTGTCTTTGTTTGTAACCTGGAGAAGAAAAAGAAGTAAGATAGACCCATAGTTACTTTTTAGGATCTTCATAGAATCACTTTGTGAGTCGATTTATGCATGTCAGTCCGTTTGTTTCCTCCAACAAACAAATACTTCAAATTTGGTAAAAATCGGTTCAGACATAGCTATATAGTTCCTCCTATATTTTTCATCCCTCACATGCGTAATATGCACTCCACAACTTTAATCTTTGATACCAGATATAAGATGCAGCTCGGAAACACCTCTGCAATATTTTTATCAAGATCGGTTCAGGTTTGAATATAGCTCCCATATATATATCTTTATCCGATTGCAGATTTATTTTGCACTAAATGGCTAATATCACCCCAAATGAATTGTGGCACTTACGACCGAATTCAGCCTAGAAGCATGTAATTTAAATTTGGTGAAAATCGGTTCGTATATGGCTATAGCTCCCATATATATGTCCGATCCCATTAGGGTTTTTAGGTCCTCCACATTCGTAATATGCACTCCACAACAATAAAATTTGGTACCAGATATCAGATACAGTCCAGAAATACCTCCGCCAAATTTTAACAAGATCGATTCAGATTTGGATATAGCTCCATTTCTTCGTCCGATTTTGGGTTAATTGTGCTAATATCAGTCCAAATGACCTGAATTTTGTTAATTCCGACTGAATTCATCCTTGTTTCAAGGTACTTCCAATTTTGTGAAAATCGGTTCATATATAGCTATAGCTCCCATATATATGTTTCATCCGATTTGGCATTTTAAGTCCCCCACATTCGTAATATGCACTCCACAACAATGATATTTGGTACCAGATTTCAGATACAGCCCATAAATAACTTTGTCAAATTTTATCAAGATCGGTTCAATGATATTTGATACCGAACATCAGATACAGCTCAAAAATAATCATGCCAAATTTTATCGAGATTGGTTTAGATTTTTATATACCTTCGATATAAATCTTCATCCGATTTTACGGTTTTAGCCCACCAGATAGGTTATAATAGCCCGACTTTTGGCCTTTCCTCACTGGTTTAAAATATGTCTAAAAACTCCCTTTAAACCAACTCAAAGTATTCCAAAACATTATTTGTTAGAAAATTCTGCTATAGGTCCCAGAAGACATCAAAAGTATAAATCTTACCTTAGCGCCAGGAATGTATGAATATATATTACCATGGTCTATCAACCCTTTCCATTTTCTCAGAGCGCCTTTTATAAGACATTTAAATCCCTTAGAACTTTTCCAATCCCCAGGTCACCAAGTCGTAGTATCAAACTCAAATCGAAATAGTTCAACGCTTATTAAAAACGTGTATTTTTTTAATTTTCTCCCATAAAAATATGCATTAAAACATACGTCTGTACATAAGTATCAATTAAAGTGTCATTCTCTGTTAACACACAAAAAAATCCCCCCCATTCCATCACGTTGAGCCGAGAATTCTGTTGATACCCGACGTAGCAGTTTTTACTGCTTAGTTTATTATCTTGCATCAACAATTACTCACACCAAATGTGTTCTTCTGCGACTTTTCAAATAATATAAATTATTTCTCAGCAGTATATCGGCGACAGTGGTGATGGAATAAAACGGATTGGAGATTGTGGAAAGTGAATTTTATAGAAAATACAAATGTATGATTGAGATTTTGATATATTATTAGTTCTTAGCTTTAAAGTTGTCATTCTTGTTCTGAGTAATTTCCGCCGTCTTTTAGTGATAATAAAACGGGGATAAATTCTGTCGATATTTTTAAACAAAGGGGATATTTTTGTCTTTTTTTCAACAATTTGTTAAAAAACCCTACTATAGCGGGATCGTAACAAGTTAGAATATTTTATAAAATTATTTGTTATAAAATTCTACTACAGGTCTTAGAATACATGAAAACTCCAAATCTTACCTAAACGCCAGGAATTTTAGGGTCTAAGTCATACTTCATATGAGTTTATGCAAAATTCTCCAATAAAACCTAATTTTGACAGGACAACACCAAAGACAAATATGTGCTTCATCGAATTTCACTAAAAGTCACCAACAAAAAGAAATCTCCATTTTCATTATATTCCAGAAAATATTTGTTTCAATTTTCAACACAAAATATCTTCTATTTCTTCAATGGAATTTTCTTTGGTCGTTTTTCGACTTGAGGCATGAAAGTGATATAAAACTTCATTTAAGACACAAAGTGTCAAAAAAGGAAATATTCTACACCAAATTCCACAATGAGGCTTAGAATAAATTATTTATATACGTGCAATAGTTTTTAAGAAAATTACATTCGAAATAAATATATATAATCCTTTTTTAAGGGAGACACCCTTTGGTGACTCTTATATGAGTTTATGTCGAATTCAACGACATAACATAATTTTAGCAGGACAACGTCAAAGACAAAATTATTCTTCATCGAATTTCACAATAAGTCACCAATGAAAATAATTTTCTATTTTCATTATATATCATGAATATATTGGCATCAATGTTGCCAATAAAAAGGGCGATAATTCATGTGAGATAAAAAAACTACAACAAAGCCAAACGCCATAATTTTTAATTTTTTTTTAAATTTTATGGAATGAAAGCAAAAAATGTCGGAAATAGCATCAAATTTTAGAATATGTTTAGATTTGTTCGAATTGGTCACATTTGGCACGAATTATGGCCTTCAAACGGCCAATGAAACCGTCACACGCTGCCCGAATGTTGCCCTGCGGTATTTTGGCCCACTCCCAGCAAAGCGTTTGCTTGATGTGATCGACACTTGGTATTTTTTAGAGTCATCCTTGCTTTCCAAAATACTCCCGACACAAAAGTCCAACGGATTGGTATGCGGAGCTATTGGTGGCCATTGTACGTTGGAAATGAAGCAAGGAACCTCATTTTGTAACCATTCTTGGGTGGCGGGTGCTGATTCCTATTGGAATGACCAAGGTCTTCGGCCAAAATGTTTGCGTACCCAAGTCTTTAATACTCCCTCTAGAATATTTTCGCGATAATATTCGGCATTTATTCTGATGCCACGGTCGATTAATAAGAGCGGAGAGCGACCATCGGCTGTTATGGCGACCCATACCATCATCATGACCAGCGCTTGAGTTCTGGTGGCCAACTGAAGGTACATATTTTCAACTGACCTCTTTGGCAATTAAACACGATCATTTTGTTTGTTTACAAACTGCTGGACAACGAATGTTTTCTCATCGGAGAAAACCAAATTCGGCAGTTCAACACTTTCGGCCAAGCGAAGCAGCTCTTTAGCTCTTTTGAGTCTATTTTCTTTCTGTTGCGGTATAAGTTCTTGCACTTTTTGGAATTTCAATGGCTTCACCCCGAGCTCATTTTTCAATATTTCCCGAATGGAATATTGCGATATGTTCAGCTCACGAGTCATTTTTCGGCCACTGCGACGCGGGGTTCGATCAAGTCGCTTCTTTACTTTTCGAACCATTTCAGCTGATGTTGCTGTTTTCTTCCGCCCACTTCCTTGACGTCGGGTATCGCAAGTATCAGTAACGAGTGATGGTACGAGACACAAAATAATTATTCACATTTATATTTTTTTTTCCATTTGGTGGAACTCGGTCCGGTATAACTATTGCTCAATAAATATTTTTTAATATAATTTTTATCGGAATCATGTCGTGCACTATAAAGCAATGTTATTGGTTCAGAGATGGTATTATCTACTTCACATATATTCCCAAATAAAAACTTTTTTTGTTACGGGAGGCTCTACTAAATTCGCATAATGGTGTAGGGTATCAAATAATCGGGCCCGTCCGACTTTTGACATTTCCTTACTGGTTTTAGTTCTGTTTTTATACTCTGCTGGATTTTTCCTGTAATTATTGAAACAATTGAATTCGCACAGTGTAATTGACATTGGACAATAAATTTAATGTATATTTATTTTATAGTCAGATTTATTTGTGATTGATCAATTATCAGGGTTAACCCGGATAGAGACTTTACTTTTATCAAAAATGTAGAATTATCCACATATAGATATTCGTTTGCGGATAGCGTAATAATTTATTATCTACATTTTTGCATAACTTGTATAATTTATCCCCATATTTTTGGATAACTTGAGTAGAAGGTCATGTTTATATATACTTTCTAGAGTATCTGACAAATATTTTGAAATTTAGCGAATAACTATTCATTACATTTTCCGTATGCAAGTATTTGATTTAAGAACTTATTATTGAATGTCTACTGTAGCGTAACAACAAAACCCAACTGTTCTCAACATGTGCTCACACTCACACTCTCGCTCTCTATCTCTCATTGAACAACGTAAAAACTCCCTACACAGTAACACATGATTCCCAAGTGTCGTCATTAAGTCTTGTGCGGTCTTTGCCACAGAACAAACGTCGGTCGCCGCGGTTTTCTATTTGTAAGCGAATTAAATAAAAAATACGACTCGAAAAGAGAAAAACAAAATTGTGTGTCATTGCGAAGAAGCTCAAAATATTTATGCGGTGATATATTGTGGTGCAAATGAAATGATGAATTGAAAATTTAACGATAAAAGAAATTGTTGTGTTTGCAATTTGTTGTGTTTGTTGTTGCCCGGTTTTTGGACATTTCTTATTTTTAGTGTTCCGTCTTTGAGGTAGTTTATTGAATTTCAATTTCAATAAATAGTTGTTGGCGGCCAGCTATCACATGGGTGTCAATGGAATATTTTTTTTTTCATTTCATTCTAAACATACATACGTTATTTACTTGTTGTTTTTGCCCATTTCCGACATTTCTGCTATTGAATTACTTGTTTGCTATGTGCGCGTTGTGTTTACACTTCAAAGAGAAAACAGGGCACAAAAAAAAACTAATTTATTGTGTGATGATGAGTGAAATGAATCAAGGATAAAAAGAGAACAAAACTGTATTGAAGTGTCATTATTGCAAAACAAAACAAAACGAAGAAATACAATGTATTTGAGATGTTATGTTTGACTCTTTGTAGTAAATCTATTAATTAATTAATCAACTAAAACCAATTCTATGACTGATTGTGTGTGCTGTATTACATTGCTCTCTGTTTTTTTAGTAATTGTTTATTTTTAATCAGAATATAAATTAAAAACCAGATAAAAGTTATTGTCATATTTATGTTTTAATATTAAGAAATGTATACATACTTATAATTATACCACTTTTTCTTTATATACCGGGTAAATGTAATCGCCAAAAGTAAAAAAGTTTTTAAAGTTATGACGGAATTGTACTGGGGATCAAAGGTCATTCCGACCAAAATAGTTTTTATTTGAAGTTAGTGCTCTTCCAAGCGATAAAAACATTACTCATAGATTGTGAAATTTATGTGGTGAATGAAGTATGTGCCAAAACTAAATATTTACAAAAAAACAAAAAGTATTTTTTACTCACATAGATTTTTTGTAATTCACCGATCTTTATATTTTTATTTACACATATGTAAGTAAAGACAGTTTTGAAGAAGAAAAAAAAAACATTGTCAAAGGGGCCGATCAAAAACAAAGACTTTGAAAAAGCATATTCTAATGGTATGATTACATTACAGCTTTTTGTCGGATTATGAAAAATTATTTGACGTACAGGATGAGATAAAAAACTGCAACAAAGTCAAACGCCATAATTTTTACATTTTTTTAAAATTTTATTGAAAGAAAGCAAAAAATGTCGGAAATATTATTAAAATTAGAATAAATTTAGATTTGTTCGAATTGGTTACCTTTGGCACGAATTATGGCCTTCAAACGGCCAATGAAACCGTCACACGCTGCCCGAATGTTACTCTGCGGTATTTTGGCCCATTCCCGGCGAAGCGCTTGCTTGAGCTGATCGACACTTTGGTAGTTTTTAGTGCCAACCTTGCTTTCCAAAATACTCCAGACACAATAGTCCAACTGATTCGTATCCGGAGATTTTGGTGGCCATTGTGCGCTGGAAATGAAGCGAGGAACCTCATTTTGTAAGCATTCTTGGGTGGCGCGTGCTGATTGCCATGGTGCTGAGGCCTGTTGGAATGTCCTGGTCTGCAGCCAAAATGTTTGCGTGCCCAAGCCTTTAATACACCCTCCACAATGTTTTCGTGATAATATTCGGCATTAATTCTGGTACCACGGTCGATTAATACGAGCGGAGACCGACCATCGGCTGTTGTGAAGGCACACACCATCAGCATGGCCGGCGCTTGAGTTCTGGTGGCCAACCGAAGGTGCTCATTTTCAGCTGACCTTTCTGGCAAGTAAAAACGATCATTTTGTTTGTTTACAAACTGCTGGACAACGAATGTTTTCTCATCGGAGAAAACCAAATTCGGAAGTTCACCACTTTCGGCCAAGCGAAGCAACTCTTTAGCTCTTTTGAGTATATTTTCTTTCTGTTGCGGTGTAAGTTCTTGCACTTTTTGGAATTTCAATGTCTTTACCCCTAGCTCATTTTTTCAATATTTGCCAAATGGAATATTGCTATTAGTTCATCTCAAGAGTCATTTTTCCGCCACTGCGACTCGGGTTTCGATCAAGTCGCTTCTTTACTTTTCGTACCATTTCTGCTGATGTTGACGTCGGGCTACGCTACCAGTATCACGGTAACGAGCGATGGTACTAGACACAAAATATTTATTCATATTTAAATGGTGAAGTGCCGAATTCTGGTCAATTGTGCACTAAATGGACAATATCAGTCCAAATGACCTGAACTTTGCCACATCTGAACGAATTCAGTCTAGAAGCAAGTACATCAAATTTGGTGAAAATCGGTTCAGATATAGCTATAGCTCCCATATACATGTTTCATTCGATTTGCTGTTTAAGTCCTTCACATTCGTAATATGCATTCGACAATAATAATATTTGGTACCAGATATCTGATACAGCTCGGAAATAAGTGTTTAAAAATTTGTCGAGATGCGATTTGGATATAGCTCCCATATACATCTTTATCCGATTTCAGTTTTTTGTGCATCAAATGGCTAATATTAGTCCAAATAAATTGAATTTTGGCAATTCCGACGGAATTCATCCTAGAAACAAGTGCTTCAAATTTTGGTGAATATCGGTTCAGATATAGCTATAGTTCTCATATATATGTTTCATCCAAATTGGGGTTAAAGTCCATCACATGCGTAATATGCACTCCAAAACAATGATATTTGATACCGGACATCAGATACTGGTCGAAAATACCTCTGCCAAATTTTATCGAGATTAGTTCAGATTCATCCGGTTATTGCAAACCATATATGTAATATCAGCTCAAATTGAAAGATTTTTTCATATTCAACCGAATTTTACCATTGTGGTAATACTAGAGGCATATTTACATTTGGCGACACAAGAGGTACAAAAGCTTTCGTTGATTTTGTTAAAATTGGTTCAGAGTTGGATATAGTTCCCAAATTGTGACCACTCTAAAGCCATGATACGCATTCATATAAGGTTCATAGTTGGTATGATCTACTTCACATAAATTTTCAATACTAAATACGCATAGTGGTGTAGGGTATCATAAGGTCGGCCCCATCTGACTTTTGACTTTTCCTTACTGTTTTTTATACCCTCCACCATACTATGGAGGGTATATTAACTTTGTCATTCCGTTTGTAACTCCTCGAAATACTCATGTCAGACCCAACAAAGTATATATATTCTTGATCAGCGTAAAATTCTAAGTTGATTTAGCGATGTCCGTCTGTCTGTCCGTCTGTCTGTCTGTTGTAATAACGCTATCTTTCGAACGAATTGAGATAGAAGGCTAAAATTTGGCACACATGTTTATTTTTCCAGTAGGCAGGTTAAGTTCGTAAATGGGCCAAGTAGATCCACGTCTTCGTATAGCCCCCATATAACGGTACCTCCCGATATTCGGTATTTTGATGATTTTAGCGACACTATTCACCGGAATTGTTTCAAATTTGGTATTTGAAGTTCGAAATGGATACTACAGCCTAAGACAGAAGATTGTCTGTGCAGGTCCACGTCTTCATATAGCCCCCATATAACGGCACTTCCCGATATTCGGTATTTTGATGATTTTAGCGACATTATTAACCGGAATTGTTTCAAATTTGGTATTAAAAGTTCATGATGAATACTACATCCTATGACAGAAAATTGTCTATGCAGGTCCACGTCTTCGTATAGCCCCCATATAACGGTACCTTCCAATATTCGGTATTTGGATGATTTTATCGTCATTGTTCACCGGAATTGTTTCAAATTACGTATTTAGAATTCGTAATGGGATCTACAGTCTGTGACAGAAAATTGTCTGTGCAGGTCCAGCCTTTCGTATAGGCCTCATATATCAGTACCTCCCTATATTCGGTATTTTGACGAGTTTAGGTACAATAGCCACCGAAATTATTTGAGATGTCGTATTTGAACTTCGTAATGGACAGAAAAATATCTACGCTGGTTCAGGTCTTCGCACAGCTCTGATATAAGGGTACCTCCCTATATACGATATTTTGATGATTTTAGCTACATTATTCACCGTTTGTTTCAAGTTTTCGAATTTGAATATGGTAATGGCTTATGACAAACAATGCCTATATAGGTCCACGTCGTATAGACCCCAATAAAACATCTATATTCGGTATTTTTAAAATTTAAACAGAATTGTTTAAGGATTTTATTTTTTGAAAATTTCCAAATTCGTTCCAAATGGTGGAGGGTATTAAAAGTGAAATGAAACTTACTGGTTTTTAACTTGTTTTTCTTTGAAGTGTTATAAAGGAATGTCATACTAAACATACCCCTCATACTTAACATGGAGGTGGGGCATATAAACTCCAGTTACGACATAGATTTCTATGTTTTTAATTATTAATCGACTTTTTCATAATTGAACTGATGACCTCAATTTCAAAAAGTCTCATAATTTTTAAGGGTTTCAGCAGAACTTTAATTAGTGTCATAACGAATGTAAATATATTAATAATTTATTGTAAATATTTTTTTGGATACAGTATTATTACAAAAAAGAAAAAGTGGTATATAATTATAAGAAATTGCCTTTAATTGTTGGCTTCGAAAAATTCATCGTATTACAAAAATAAATTGTTTATAATTTCTATTGTTTTATATTTTCATATCTTATTTCTTTTCTTTTTTGTTTACATTTTCTTTTCTTTTCTAGTTATGCTTTTTACGCGTAGACGGAAATTTATCAAAAGGTGATTGTCATCATTTTAAGTGTTTTCCTTTTTTTTTTTTTGTTATTCTAACTCAATTTCGTTCATCCATGTAGAGCAGAAGAACACTGTAACATTTGTTTTCTAGATTTTCTTCCCTATGCCTTATAAAAGCTTTTTTTATTTATTATCATTATTTCCTTTCCTTTGCATATTCATTGTCTATTTGTCAATGTGCATAAACAACAACAACAGCAATAATAATAGTTATTTTAATTTCCATACATTATTCATGACAGCTGTAGACAGTAGTAGTTATCTCGTTATTCTACATAATTATTATTTTATTGTGTAATTAAATCCGAACCACAACACCCAAAACTAATGTAAATGTAAGTTTTTTTTATTTCTTTGTTTGTGATTGGATAAATTAGTCACAATTCGATAGAATGCATATTTCTAGACACACACATACACACAATGACTCTGTGCAACGAATATAAATTTGGGAAGGAATCTACTCAAGTTTGGAAGGAATCTACGCATGCGTGCGATTAAAAGGAGTTTTAAAGATCTTAAATTCAGGACAATTTAATAATTTTCTTCGAGAATCGAATTTCGAACGACAGAAATAAACCCCCAAGCTTTCAAATTAATTGAAATAGTAGCACAAAAGTTATGATATTTTTCAGTACAAAATCTAGAAAATCAAAACAGAGTGGGTGAAAAAAGAAACGTGGGTGGGTGGGAAGAGAAACGTCACTATTACAACATTTAACATACAAAAACAGGCCTAAGTTCTGTTGAATGTCTCACCGAATTTTTTACACAAGACACTCCTTGATTGCTAACATTCTTGAAAAATATCCCTCAAAATACGTTCCGTGATGATTACATTGGGGAAAAAATTCCAATTTTACAATAAGAAGAGCTAAAAAAAGAAGACACGTCTATCGGCGTTTTGAAAGTTTTCGTCACAAAATAAAACAAGTATAAAAAATTAAGTTCGGCCAGGCCCGACTTTCAATACCCTCCACCTTTGGGTAAAGAAAACATCTTTATATAAAAGTATCTGAATTCAAACATTTTCCACTTTAAACTACAAATACCAGGGAGGCCGTTTAGATAACTCTATTAAACTTTCCAAAAAATTATAAAGTGGGTGAGGCCGTTATAAGGACGCCCATATCAAAGCGGAAAACCCTCTAGACTATTTTATACTTCAAGGATTGTCATCTACCAAATCTTCTTAAATAACAAATTTGAATCAGTTTCGTGGGTAAATGTGACTAGGATTATCAAAATACCGAATATCGGTGGGTATCGTTATATGTGCGCTATAGGAAAACGTGGATATAAATTTGCAATGTTCTGACACGGGAGCTAGAAACTACAACTACAAACACCAATTTTTAGACAAATCCGTGGAAAAAGTGGAAAAATCATAAAAAATACTGAATATCCGGAGATACCGTTATAACTGTATACGATATTCCACCACCGGCGCTGAAACCCATTATGAACTACAAATGCCAATTTTTGGCATTTTGGCATGAAAACGTGGACCTACATATCTCATTTTCAATTCAAACCATCCTTGAAATTTTGAAGCTCTACGTCAAATAATGTGGGCTGTATCATGATTGCAACAGACAGACAGAGCGACATCGTTAAATCGACTTAGAATTTTATGTTGATCATGAATATACAGGGTGAGATAAAAAAACTGCCACAAAGTCAAACGCCATAATTTTTACATTTTTTTTTAATTCTATTAAATGAAAGCAAAAAAATGTCGGAAATAGCATCAAATTTTAGAATAAGTTTAGATTTGTTCGAATTGATCACTTTTGGCACGAATTATGACCTTCAAACGGCCAATGAAACCGTCACACGCTGCCCGAATGTTGGTCTGTGGTATTTTGGTCAATTCCCGATGAAGCTCTTGCTTGAGGTGATCGACACTTTGGTATTTTTTAGTGCCAATCTTGCTTTCCAAAATACTCCAGATACAATAGTCCAACGGATTGGTATCCGGAGATTTTGGTGGTCATTGTGCGCTGGAAATGAAGTGAGGAACCTTAATTTGTAACCGATTTTGGGTGGTGCGTGCTGAGTGCGATGGTGTTGAGTCCTGTTGGAATGTCCAAGGTCTGCGGCCAAAATGTTTGCGTGCCCAAGGCTTTAATACACCTTCCAAAATATTTTCGCGATAATATTTCGATTTATACGAGCGGAGAGCGACCATCGGATGTTATGGCGGCCCACACCATCACCATGGCCGGCGCTTGAGTTCTGGTGGCCAACCAAAGGTGCACATTTCAGCTAACCTCTTTGGCAAGTAAACACGATCATTTTGTTTGTTTACAAACTGCTGTACAACGAATGTTTTCTTATCGGAGAAAGCCGAATTCGGCAGTTCACCACTTTCGGCCAAGCGAAGCAGCCCTTTAGGTCTTTTGAGTGTATTTTCTTTCTGCTGCGGTATAGGTTCTTGCACTTTTTGAAATTTCGATGGCCCGAGCTCATTTTTTAATATTTACCGAATGGAATATTGCGATATGTTCAGCTCACGAGCCACTGCAACGCGGGTTTCGATCAAGTCGCTTCTTTACTTTTTGAACCATTTCTGCTGATGTTGCTGTTTTCTTCCGTCCACTTCCTTGATGTCGGTAACGTGCGATGGTACGAGATACAAAAGATTTATTCACTTTTAAATGCTGGAGTGCTCTAATGATGGCCACTTGTGGTTTTCCAGCCAAATATAAAGAAATCACACTATCACGCTCGAATTCCATCACGAATAACTTTTTTTCTGGAAAATTCTCACCAAAATGCTTTTGTACGCTTGTAAACAATATAATTAGCTGTCACTGTCACATAATTTTAACAGCTGTCGGATGAGTGGCTTAGAAATGATAGCAGTCTGAAGTTGGTTGCAGTTTTTTCATCTCATCCTGTACTTATCCCCTGAGAAAGAAATTGCTTGACAATTACTGTGGGTATAGCAACCAGACGATCTAATATAATTTTAAAAAAATGCATATTTCGATTCCTAGTCGGACGTATCTTTAGAGATTTTGTATCATCAATGTATGTCCTTATTTCAATATCCCTGATAACTTACAAATGTTTTCTATAGATATGTCGCATATCCATCCACACCATACCATATCCATAGGTTTTCTATTAATTTTGGAATTCTTAGATTGCAAAGTAAATTTTTTAACTTGAAACTCGATATATTATTCAGATGCCTATCGCTTTCATATATTCCTGTTTAATTTGGAGAAAAAATGTTTTGGCACATTTTTTGTAACCTCTCTTGAAAGACTACATGTGTATCCTTTAATCAATTTCCTTCCAAAATCCACACCTAATATTAGTAACTTAATTTTATAGCATTTATTTTTTGGCTTTCGTAACATTTATAAATTTCTATTTCTAATACATTTACTTACAAATTATAACAAATATGTTTCTTCCTTTCTCTCTTATCTTCTCTTTAATTTGTTATTTTTGTTATCTTTTGAAATGCTCTCCTTTACTTTTTTGGCAAATTGGCACCGTTTTTTACACCGTTTACAGACAATAAACAAGACTAGATAATAAATACAATTTTAAAACATTACCTGAGACGGCGCAGTATTTACAATAATAAAACAAATTCTGCTGTAACAAATAACAAACATTTTTGAAAACTAATATTAAAATGTCGATAAATGTGTACATATTTTTGTGTATTAAAAATAAAATTAATTAATTTCATGTATTTCACAATTAGAAATAATTATTGCTATAACAATTTGTCACTAAAAATCAAAAAACATATTTTGCTATAAAAACTTGGTCTGTTCCAGAACTGCAAAAATTTTAGAAACATATTTCCCTTGTGATTTCGAAAAAAATTCAAAACTAGTCAATTCTTGCCGCTTCTGGAACAGAGCAACTATTTCACATCTGTTTTCATTCATCAAATTTTTATATAATAAGTACATTTTATATAATAAAAAAATGTTTGCCATATAAAATATAGATTTGTGTAATAAAATAAATCAATTGGAATTGATGACGGGCGTTTAGTTGCTAAACCAAAATAAATATTGCTACAAAGAGTAAAACATAAACATTCATTACGAAAAAATTAAAGCTGTGCTTTAACAAAGTATATAAAAGTAAAACGAACATTTTCTATCAAAACTTGAAGTTTTGACCAAAAAGAAAACAACAAAATTCTACGCCATGTACGAAAGCTATAATTTTCTAAATTCACTTTTTCGCGCCACAATCATTCCTGGACTATTTGTTATAGTTTGGCTAACTGGGTTGTAAGTATTGCTATCTCTCTCTCACCCACTGTCTCTGTCACATCACATCAAACAACAAAATAAAACATCACCTCCAACTAGACACCTTAAACATTTGTTTATAACTCTTTTGCAAATATAATATTGCTGTAACATTTTATTTCTTTCATAATTTCATTTTTGTTTTTTTTGTGTTTGTGGTAACTTTCTTAAATAGTTTAAAAGCATCATTATATGAAGTATATGTGTGTTCATGTAAATGTTATATTAATATTTTGTATTATAAAGATATAAATTTGCTATTTGCTTTGATTAAGGTGAGAATACATGAAGTGAGTTTTTGACTGGCTTAAGTCATTGGCTGGCTTCTTCGTACCGGACTTGGTAGAAGAATACAGGTCGTCGCATCGACACATCTTTATACTTCTATGTCTCTTTATACTTCTATGTCTCTTTATACTTCTATGTCTTTGATCAAAGCAAAGACATAGAAGTATAAAGATGGGACAAAATAGAGTCAAAATATTGTCACCAGGTGTAAATACCTCACCAATGTTAATTTGTTTTAACAGCAACTGCAATTTTTATAATTGAAAACGTCAATGGAATGCAATTTTTAGTCCAAATTTTAGGTTTACAGAAAATGTTATTCTTAAAATTGTGCGGTAAATATGATTTTTATGTTAACATGTCAATGTTGTGAGCAGCGGCCCTATATATTTTTCACACTAACTATAGTTGTGTTCCAGAACCTGCAAATTAGTACTAATTAGCACTAATTCTGCTACAACGCGTTCCCGTACTCCAAAAACTAGCAAAACTTGCAGCTCTCTCGAGAAAAAAATGGCGCTGAGTGGTGCACATTTCTGCTTGTTTTAGCTACATGAATTTGGCCGAGCAGAAATTTGCATATTGTAAATTTGACATTTAATTCGCAGGGTTAACAAGGTTGAAAAATGTATTGATACATTTCAATAAAGAAAATGATCAACTTGAAAACTAAAGGAAAAACTAATATTTATCGTGCAAAAAACAAAAAGAGAAAATATGGAGCAACTGATGTATTCACTTTTGGATGATTCCAGCAGTGAAGAGGACTGGCTGAATGAGGAATCAGATCATTAATTATTATTATAAATTATTAATTTTAACTTATCGTCTTCAATACTCATTTTTTAAATGTTGGCGCTCTTTTCAGTAAGGTTTCACCAGTCCGATTTAGGCTGTTTACTTTTGGAATTTTGACATTTTGACATTTTATCGCATTTCTGCTAATTTTCCGTTCCTTTATTTTTTGAGCAAACCTAAATGAGAATGACATTTCGAATTGTTCTCTCTTCTGCTAGTTTTACTACTAAAAAAGTACTGGAACACAACTTATTTGTCCATTATGTATTTTGTCCAGTCTCTACCATTTGAGGTCTTTGATCAAAGGAGTTTTAGGTTTACTTAGTTCGATTTTGTCCCAAGCTCCTTTGTTTTTTTTTTTTTCGAAGAAACAATGAAATAAAGGTAACATCACTTCAAATTAGCATTTCCAGCTCTGTATTTTCTGTAATTTACCTTATCAAATTTCAAAGCATAAAAAACAGTTCCCATCTCTGATTTTGTGTGTATAAATTAAACATAACGTTCTTTTTCGAGTGACAAAATGAGACTAACTTTATTTTTCCTTTATTCTTAAAATTAAGTTTTGTTGGACAATGTATTTAGTGCAACTTTAGCACTTTTGATTTTATTATTTCTTAGAGTTAGGTTTCTTAAAATGTAAGCATTTGTCTGTTGTTTATACGAATGAATGACATGAATGCATTGTAAGCATTTTGCAAGCATATTTAAGTGCCATCGAACTTGCACGCGCAACAGAAACAGAAATAAAGAAGTTAACGTTAACTCCTCCCCTCTTTAAACCGAGCGTCCTCGATCGGTCAAAAATAGGGAATATGAGAAATTCTTCGTATTCCCGGCAATTCCACTACTTCCGGCATAGGAACACGATTACGTGCGTCATACGGACATGAATCTGCTATAGACGGGGTGAGTATAATTTCTTTTCCCCTTTTGCAGATCTTGGACCTTATAATGAAAACGATTATCAATATTATCGCGAAGGAGGTAAGTCCAAAATTTGTGGTTTGACCCCACTCGTATTTGCCTCCCAATAAATTTATGGCTTTTGTGTTACTAATTTGAATTTCTTTAATTGACTCTAAAGAGAGCGTCTCTTCTATACTGAGAACAGACTCCCTAGGTTGCAGAATCGCCGGTAATGGTTGAATATGGCTTATTTCAAAAAAGGAATATGATTTGTCGGAAATACTTAGTGTAGTGTTGCTATATTGGATGACATACGATCCAATAAGTCTTTGTGCAACATTATTTATTAGGATTGTTTCATTGAAATTATTTAACAGGATTACCCCTGGAGAAACTTCTTCAACTGTTGGTACTGTTTTGTTATCAGTTACCGTGCAATTCGATGTCTTGCTATTTAACAAATTAGAAATATATATAGCTATAGCTTCTAAGTTTATGCTATTACAGATACTTATATTATTGTATTTCATGCATTCACTCTTGATTCCGTATAATTTTAAATCTTGTTTGCACATTATTACATTTTCGAATTTTAATTTATTGACGAACTTCTCAAATTTTATAGGTTTCAGTAATAATCTATTACAAACTTTGTTGTCTGTCATTGGTATTCTAATAATATAAATGATAGATTGATTATTAGTTGCGATTTTTATTTGAGCAAATTCAAAGATTTCTTCTACATTAACAAACGGTATTGAATCTTTTTCAATTATATTTTTAATAATATTTATCTCGTCAGATGAAAGTATGAATGAGTTTACAATTCCTATTTTTGCCCAATGGATAGCGTATTGAATATTTACAATTTCTTGTTTTAATATTTCTATTTTAAATTTTAATTTTGAACTTAATCTATCTCTGTTTACATCACTGTTATTTATACTTTTTATTATTTCATTAGTTATTTGTGTTAACTCATTGATTTTTCTCAATGACAATTTGTTAATTACAACTTGTTTATTATTGTTTTCTAGAACTTCATTAGTTTTCTGAGTTATTATTTCAAAATCATCGTGGTCTGGATTTCCAGCAATCCATTTCCACGCTGAACCTATAAAATTCAATGATCGTTTATTTTTCACGTTTGGCTTCAAACGGTCCAAGTATCCTTGAATCTCTGTCAGCTCATGGGTTAGGAAGGGATGAAGGAAATGGTGTTTGGTTATGTTCTGGGAAAGGATGTTTTGTAGGGAATTTATTGTTTCTTGATATTTGTCGATGTCAATGATATGAATTATCCTGAAGTTACCATCTTGAATTTTTGCCAAACCGGAATCAAACGCAACAATTTGAGAGTTTGTATAGTCCAAAATCTTGACATAGGCGGTCGCCGTGGCGAATAAAAATCTGAAAATATTTGATTTCTTAATTTCTGATATTGTTTTTGTGTACGGTTTTTCCTGATTCTGTAATAACAGTTGTATTTTGGTTTTCTTTTACTATTTCTTGTCTGTATGCCTTACTTAACTTTGTCCCAAGTCTCCTATTCTCTTTTACGAATATGATTTCTCCTGGCGTATAGGTTTTTGGTTGAGTCCTTTTCTTATTGTGGTAGTTAATATCTTCTGCTTGTTTTTCTTTAAGCCTTTGGGCAATTTCGGATCTTTCTTTCTCTATATCATCCTGACTCATGTTTGCCCTTTTTCCAAGAAATGCTTCAACTGGTTTCTTTTGAATGCTTGAGTGTATTGTGTTATTATATTCGTAAATGGATCTATGTAAAAGCTCTGAGAAGGATTTGTGTAAGTTCTGTGCTTTTAGACATCGCATTATCTCTGACAGTGTAGAGTGGAACCGCTCAATTTGCCCATTTACAGTACTACTGTACGGCGGGATTTTGAACAATTTGATGTTGTACTGATTTTCTAACATGAAAACTATTGCTTTGGAATTAAAAGATCTTTCGTTGTCGATAACTATTATTTCAGGAATTCCAAAGGATATGACTAATTCCCTAAGTGGTTCTTTAATGTCTTCTGCTGATCTTGATTTCAGAATTTTTGCTTGAGCGTATTTAGAAAACTTGTCTATAGCCGTCAATACGGATGTCTTTTCGGTTATGTAAATGTCTATGTGAACAATCTGTCCAGGATTTTGTGGGATAGGTGTTTCCTGTAGGCCTATCTTATTAGGATGTCTATCGTATTTGTTTTCTTTGCAAACTTTACATTGATCGACTATTTTCTTAATTTTAGCTTGCATTCTGGGAAAGTAGTACTTTGTCAATAACTGTGCTTTATTTTCTACGCTATTTCGGTGTGCTCTATTATGTTCAGCAATAATCTTGTTTTCTTGGTCTTCATCATTTTTCAAGTCGGTTACCATTTGTCTTGAATATTTGACTTTGTATTGTGTGAAATTATCACGGAACACTTCTTGCAATACTCCCAAGATTTCGTCATTAGTCTTTAAGCAGTTTGTTACCGATGGGTTTAAATATTTCTTCAAAATGTCTCTGAGAAATTCTGGTGTAATATTTCGTTCATTTATAGTATGTCTGTGATAAGTTGGAAAGACAATTTCAAATTTATAAGATGGTTCATCATCTTCTGAAGAGATGAGAATTTGATTCTTAAATGCGTTTATCGGAGCGTCAGTGTATTGTATTAAATTATGAGATGAGCTTTCATGACTGTGTTGGGTCGAAGTCAGAGCATTTATCTCTTCTGGTTCTTTAGGAGGTCTTGATAGTGTATCGGCAACTACATTTGTACTACCGGGTTTGTATAGTAATTCGTAATTGAATTCCTCAAGGAAGGCTTTCCATCTTCTTAGCTTGAAATTAGCTGTTTTATTATTCAATGCGTATGTCAGTGGAAGGTGATCGGTATAAATTTTAAGTTTGGCAGAACCGTAAAGGTAGTTTCTGAGGGATTTGAGAGCCCAAGTAATTGCAAGCATCTCCTTTTCGTTTGTTGCAT